TTATGCCATCATTCCCATAATGACACAAGATTAGGGAGTTAAGTATCATCCATAATGATACATGGATTTCATAACACATCTAGTATGCAAGAACATGTAATGAATCAAATACTCTAATAAACCATAGAAAGTATCAATACATCAAATGTATCTAAATAAAGCTCATAAACAGTACATCATAGAGCACTAAACCAACAATCTCCCACTTGCTCTAATCATGAACATGTCTCGGCCGAGCAGAGGTATGATGTAGATGAAGATGTAAGAAATCCTTATGTTGAAATGGTGACAGATGCTTTTCCTGGGGCATTGGCTGAGTAAAACTCATCACAAGATCAGGAGGAGTCAAACGTCGAAACAAAACGGTTTTCCGACATGTTGGATATGGCAAATCATCCTATCTATGAAGGATGTAAAGAAGGTCAGTCACGTTTATCTCTTGCATCAAGATTGATGAGTATGAAAACAGATTACAATGTCACCGAAAGTTGCATGGATTCATTTTGTCAAACGTTGCGTGAATATTTACCTGAAAATGACGAAGCTCAGAATCATGTTATGATACGAAGGCTATGTTGAAGAATTTAGGAATGCCTTATGAAAAGATTGATGTTTGCAAAAATGGTTGCATGTTGTACGTGGTAAAGAAAAAGAATTGGTTATGTGTAAATTCTGTGGGACTAACAGATATCGTCCGAGTAAGAATGTACGGAGACAAACTCCGTATAAAAAGATGTTCTATATGCCGGTATCGTACAGATTGAAGCGTTTGTATGAATCACAATAAACGGCTTCGCATATGAGATGGCATGCCTCGCATTCTACCGTTGATGGAGAAATGCAACATCCATCAGATGCTTTGGCGTGGAAAAACTTCAACATGGTATTTCCTCAATTCGCTGCTGAGCCTAGGAATGTGTATCTTTGTTTGTTACTGATGGATTTAGTCCGTACGGACAGTCTGGCATGCAATATTCATTATGGCCCGTTATACTTTCTCCGTACAACTTACCACCTGAGATGTGCATGAAAAGAGAATTTATGTTTTTGACATTGTTGATTCCTGGGCCAGAACATCCGAATAAGAGTTTTGATGTGTATTTACAGCCGCTCATTAAGGAGTTGAAGGATTTGTGGGACATTGGAGTCCCTGCTTACGACGTAAGTGTGAAACAAAATTTTACACTGAGAGTGGTTCTTCTTTGGACGATCAGTGATTTTCCGGCGTATGGCATGCTATCGGGATGGAGCACACATGGAAGACTTGCATGTCCATTTTGCATGGAGGAACATGAAAAACTTGCATGTCCGTTTTGCATGGAGGAAACAGAAGCGTTTCAGTTGAGACTAGGGGTGGGCATGGGTCAGGTACCCGGGATTTTTTGAGTACCCGAACCCAAAAAATAACATATTTTGAAACCCAAATTCGAACCCGAATTTTTGGGTACCCGAAATGTATTACTCGTGAGATAATTTTCGGGTACCCGCGGATTTCCGAACCCGAAAAATTTTAATTATTTTTTTAAAAAAATTATAAATTTATAAATTTTATACAAATAATTCATAAAATTAATGAAAATAATTTAAAATATTTATATTTAAAATGATTAGATTAATAAAATAATAGTTTATATATATATAAAAATATAAAAATTCAAGATAATTGATAAATATTTTTATTAATATTAAAATTTTTAAATAAATAATATTTATTTTTTATTATTCGGGTACCCGCGGATAATTATCCGATCCGAAAGTGTAAACCCGAACCCGAACCCGAATTTCGGGTTTTACATATTTTTAAACCCGAACTCTATCTCATAACATAACGGGTGCCCGATTTTCGGGTATCCGACCCTCGGGTCGGGATGGGTACCCGATTTTCGGGTAATTTTGCCCACCCCTAGTTGAGACATGGGAGAAAGTCGTGCTGGTTTGACTGTCATCGCAGATTTCTTCCAAGGAATCATCCGTTCAGACAAAATCGTATGCTTTTTACCAAAGGTAAAATCGTTATTGAGGAATGTCCTGTTATGCAAACCGGAGAGCAAATTTATTCTGAACGAATAAATAGTGGATATTTGGATGATTTGGAAGCTTCTGTGCATTGTGGAGGAAATTTTGGGCATAAAAAGTGCAAGAGCAACTCGAAGATCCGGTTCTTCCCATCCGACTAGATGATGATTACGACGAGACACTTGCACTTCCTGACATAGGCGATGAGTTACTTGATGATTCGTTACACGTGCAAGACGATATAGACGAATTCGTTTCGGACCATGATACAACTCCGGATGATGAAAGTGATAAAGATTCTATGTAGACTTATTTTTTTATTGTTTTCATATGTAGTTGTATTTTAAAAAATCTATCATATTCATTTGTATTTTTGAGATTTTTAAATTTTTTTTAAAAAAATTTTTAAATTCCAACGGGCATCTCCAAATAAGGGTCGCATCTATGGATTAGGAGGATTGCAGCGAGATTTGTTCGATGATTTCGGTGCAACAATTCCTCCTGGCATGCAGAGCGATCTCGAACAACAACGGCGGATCGAGACACTCGAGCAACAGCTTGCGGCGACGAGACAACAAGTGACTAACCTCGAACAAATCGTTGAGTTTTTGCGGGGTGATCGGCCACTCCACAATACGCCGCCAAGCTCGGGAGCAGAAACGACGACACGTAATCTCGGGACTAGCGAAGACGAAGAAACCCGTAGT